AAACTCGGAGTTTCTAAAGTATGGAATTTTGCCTTGACATCTTAAGATTTAGAGCTTTTGAGTGTCTGTTGCATATTCCGTATAATCAGGATTTTAGAAAATGGCGCTCAAAAGGGAAGAAGAAAAGTCCTTGAAAAAAAACGGGGAAAAAGCATCTGTGTCAAAGAATGATAATATTTGGGAGCAACCTATTCGATTATGATTTTCGGATTCACTTTAATGTCTGCCCATTGATGAACTCATTCCCCTATAGTCAAATATCGATGCGGTTTTTGCGATAGGTAAGAAGACGGTGGGGGGGGTGTTGTTTCTTAATAAAAGCATTTCTCAATTTCAGGATAAGTGAATTCATTTTCTTTTTCAATGAAAAAAAGCAAAAGACACGCGCGTTAAATCTCTACCATAATCATGCTAATCTGTTTATCAAGTAGATTTAAACAGAGACTTGGCAACATCACTTTTTGGCGGGATTGTCACCATGAACCAAATACTGAACATAATATTGGATTCCTTTTCCCAAAAAGACCGAAAATGTCAAGTTTTAAGAAGATCGGCGAAAAATTATCGTCTAATGGGCCAATGTCCCGTTTTGACACCTTTTCGTCCCACTGTGCGCTGAGCGCGCGCGCAGGGCTGCGCATCGTAGCATTGCACCGGCACAGACGAAGGGACCGGACGGCGGGGTGGGAGGGGAATATCAGGTGAAGAAGCATCCACATTTTCTATCCATAATGAAAATGCATTATACTTTTTTAATATGGATGAGGAAATATGAGCCATACAAGGAAGCGATGAAAGGAGTGACGAATAGTTTGTACAATTAGGAGCGTAAGTGAGGAAAATTTGCCTTAGGTAACTACAGAACAGCCCTGAAAATCTCCGGGAAATAAAAGCTGCTATTGTCAACATACCTGTTGATCATCAAAACAGAAAATTCTTACTCACCGGAAACCACTGGTAGGTATTTGAGTAATTAAAAAGATATGTGCGATGTTGTCGAATAGTAAGCTCTTGACGCGATCAAATGCGGTTAATGTAAATGTAATTGGAAAAGTTGAAGAAAAATTTGATGAAAGAAAATTGCCCCAAATTCAGGAAGTGCTCCAAGTGTTTTTCTATCATGTGAAATGTTTGCTCATGAATGTGAATGACAGTGCATGGAGAACCTCTGATCTAGTAATTCCCATATGGAATGAAAAATGAAAAATATTGAATCCCTGTGATACACAGTGACACACAAGCTGGCGAGTATTTTGAAGCGGATGGGTGATGACTTGGTAAGCTGCTTAAAATGTTACTTGCTTTTCCACCGGATATCCCCTTTCCACCCCGCCGTCCTGTCGTCTGTACCTGTGCAATGCTGCGATGCGCAGCCCTGCGTGCGCTCAGCGCGGCGCGCCCCGCCGCGCCGGCTCATAGCCTCACACTGTCATTGGGCCGTTTGTGACCTAACGCTTCAGGATACGCCAAAACCGACGAAATTTCCACCCAAAAGACCGTAATTTGCGATTTTTCTTCAGAGTTGATCTTTTGCTTGCCAAAATTTTCGAATTTTGGATTTAGGCCCGTTGAGACACGGGTTAAAATATTTTTTAAAATGTTTTTCCTTTTAGGGGGTTCATTTAGAGACTACGTAGAAATTTTTCAGGGGTTGAGCAACTTGATTTTCGCAAAACTCAAAAATAAGGTACACGGTAGCCCCCCGTCTCCCCTGAGGGAGGGGCAAAAATGTTGACACCCCTGGAAGATGGTCCTCTTTGAAATAGAAACATTCCCAAAGTTTCGTTTTTAGTGTATTTTCCGAAGAAAATACACTATTGCATTCTCCCATGATGTCGGAACCAGACCCGAGACCTTGTGAAGAGCACCGATCAAGGGCCGTAGATCACGAAAATAGATGCCATTCAAATTCATGTATATATAAATCCCTTTTTAAGATTTTTCGATTTTGGAGTAGTTATATCTTTCTTACGTTGAAAGATATTTTGACAAATTTTTTTGCATTTAGTAGAGACTCAATAGAACTACTATTCTGCGGAAAAAAATTGAAATTTGAGGCAATAGATTTTGAGGGGTGGGGCTTTGAAAGTTTTAGGCGAGGGGTGCGCGGCATGAGGGGAGCCGGCCGGAGCAGGGCCGCACAGTGGGTCGGGGGAGAAAGTTTTTGGACAAGCTGATCGTCGCACAGTGGGTCAGGGGGAAGAAGTTTTTGGACAAAATTTTCGTCGCACAGTGGGTCAGGGAGAGGAAGTTTTTGGACAAAATTTTCGTCGCACAGTGGGTTAGGGGGAGGAAGTTTTTGGACAAGCTTTTCGTCGCTTAGTGGTTCAGGGGAAGGAAGACTTTGGACAAACTGCGCGTCGCACAGTGGGTCAGGTGAAGAAAGTTTTTGGAAGAACTGTTCGTGGCACAGCGGCCCAAGGAAAGGAAATATCTGGAAAAAAACTATCGATTACACAATGACTTTCAGACGTACGATTTTATGACTACAAAAATCCCACTTCGGGAAATACACTTCCTTCCCGCGGTGGATGCGCGGGACACTTGAAAAGAATAAAAACTAGATGTGCAGACGACCCCGAAAAGACGCCCGCGAAGCGCGCGTCCAGGGAGGCTTTGGAGGGCGGAGCCTCCCCAAAAACCGGCGCGGAGCGAAGCGGAGCGCCGTTTTTTTCTATCTCTAGTCGTTCAAAATTTAGAGAGGAGGGGGGGAGCGGGACTTTTAGAACTCCCTGTATGATTTAACGAAGTATTAGCGCAAAATAAAACAAATACTATTCATTGTCGGTAACTGTGAGGTCGTCCGGCACTTTCCAGATTTTTGGGGTGCTATCTGACGACCGGGCTAGTCGCCCTCCCTAGAAGCCAAAATATGATTTATATTACCTACCAAGATATGTAAAAATACCTTTTAAATACAATAGATATTAAATAGCTGAAAAGAGGTATATAAATAACGTTTTAAAATATCCTGATGTCCTTTTTTTAGGTACCGTAATATGGGGTGAATGGGGACAGTTTTTTATACAAATACACGACTGTGGCCTACTGTTTTCGAGAATTCGGTTTTTTTTTTAACAGGCAGATGTGACCTTGTAAGACCTTTACTTTCCCCCAAAATTTTGATGATACGAAAATTTTAACTAATTTAATTTTGTTGTTTTACCTACTGTCCCTATTCAGCCTCCACTGGGGTGAATCGGGACACCAGCAGATTGCATTGTAAGTAAAGCGTTGTTCCCATTCTGCTAACTGGAGAGTGAATGGAGACACTACCTAAGTTTTAAAGAAAAGTGAAATTCGAATCTGAATTGGAAAAATATGTCTTTAATTGACAAAAATTAAACAGTAAGAAGCAAACAGATGACAATTGTCCTTTACGCCCTGATCATTGTGAGATCTGAAAGATAAATTCCTCAATTAAAGCAGGGCAGCATTCAAAGGCCTCAGAATATGAAATAGGTACATAAAAGTATTCCAAAGTATGTGATAAGAGGCGGAAAATTTCAAAGAAAGCCCCTCCCCAGTGCCTGAATCTATGATACTCAGACTCCTGACTGCTCGTTTTTTGGAGAAAAATATTTTTTAAACCACCTAAATATCGAGCAAATTTCATCATTTTTGGTGATGAGCAGGGTATCTAATGATGTCAAAATGTGATAACCTAAAGAAAAAACTTTTCTTTAATTCGTGATCCACTTGCATGGGACGTTATCACGCTTGTTTTACCGCTTTTTTTCAAGGTCTGGTTTTGAGGTTATGTTGACATTTTATGTTTTCACTAAACAACACCGATTACACCGGTTAAGTAAAGAGGATGCCAAACTATGCATTTTCGGAAAAAAACGAGTTCTGTAGGTGCCAAACTTACCGAGTTATGACTGACGAACGGAAGTAAATCGAAATTGTCCCTGTCGAGTTCACCCGCCTGTCCCCATTCACCCCATATTACGGTATTCAATACCATACCTATAAAATGGGTAAAAAATAGGTTTCATATAAAAGCCTTAGCAAATTTGGATATAGTGTAAGTAAAGAAGAACACTAATGAGTAAGCAGTATATGCATCTCTAATATGCTTGTGTGAAAAATAATCACAGATCTGAAAAGATGAAGGACCTTCCCCCTCTTGAACGACTCTCCTTCCATTGCTGTCCCGAGCATCATGATGGTCAAACCTCCGATGATTTTTTCCACATACGTCCTCTTAGTGAGCTAGATGAACAATACATTGAGAATACCAATGCGATTCATTACAGCTATCATGACCCCAGGATGTTTAAAACCAAGGTGGAAATTCTCTCTTTCTTTATAGAGTTGTGGAAACTCTTTGAAAAAGCACCTAAATAGGAGTCAAAATCATTTACTTGTGATTTCTGGAGCAAAAAAGACAGCAGCAAATCCTGATGGCAAAAATAGGAATTACATGCAAGTATTTGATACATATCGACAGTACAACTACCAGATCACATATGTCATTTACGGTAGTTTAAAAATCTCCGCTCCCATTTTATTTTTTTGAAAGAGAACAAATCAATATCATCTCTTGAAATCTTCACAGAGACGCTTTCAAAGATTGACTTTGAGTAGTTTCCTTTAAATTATAAAGTACATCAGGAAGTCTACGACATAGCAAATGGATACCTATCCTGGTAGTTTCACCATGGATATGTAATAGACACTGTATTTAGATTACAAGTATTTTATACTGTATAAAATATATATTAAATAAGGTATCCATTAGATGAGTACCTATTTGATACTAGTATTTTGGCTATTAGGATCCTTGGATCCAAACGACGATCCTTTGTAGTTCTAATTTTAGATGTTGAGGAGAGAGGAATTAAAAAGGAAGTTAATTTTTTATGATACAAACTGATAGGCACACTCACGCGGCAAAAATAAAAAAAAATATCTTGATAGTATAAATATTCATAACACTTATTGAATGTAATTTCTCTTGATCAGAATGATTTACGATTGATTAAAATTGATTTCAGATTTTGATTTTGGGCCTACTTGGCTGTACAACCGCCCAAAACAATGGAATTTTCTACACAGGATTCCTGGCTGACTCCTTGAGACAGAATAATCCGTCAAGATTATCTACGGCCCGCCTACTTCAGACCCTTCCCACCACAACGGAGTACTCTCGATTGGAAGATCAGTATTACCAAGAGAAGCCAACACTCCATGCTGACCCCATAATTAGACTCCACCAGAACGAAAACCAAGAGAGTATCCTCCCTCGTAGGCAGCAACTTTTCCAGAACAACAATCAACAAGTACCTGACCTGGATATTTCCATTAAAGGAGATTCCTCCACCCCAGTTCAAGCCCCTGCTTCCATTAGGATTGAGAGTGCTCCTATTATCTCACACATATCCCCTGAGGAGAGGTTAAGAAATGAGAAGGAACGCCTGGAGCAGAACAGAAGTGCTAAGTATGCATTTAATTCTGTTGTGAGCGATACTATTTTTGATAATTCTCATGTCCGCGAAGAAGTGAGAGATGGTCTGAAGCTAGCTGGACTTTATTCCTATAGTGATGGATTCTACAAGAGGACCGTGCACTATGTAGCTGATGAGAATGGATACAGAGTCATCAAGTAAGTCCTTCCAACTTTCTTCTTACTTAAATTTCTATCATACTTAAGTATTAATAAAGAATATGCCTTTGGATTCTACCTGTAAGGATTAGTTTGGTGGACCCTCCAAAACAGAGAGTAAACACAGCTTAGATTGACATTTTCCCTTCCGAAGTTTCGAGTCAAAGATGGCTGTATGGTAAGTTAAAGCGAAACTAAAAAAACCAATTGTGTGCAATATTTAGAGAATACTTTTAGGAGCTCAAAGCTTTAACAGTCTGTCATACCCAAGCCCAAGACATGCTCATGCAACGCTTAAGACCCAGGTTTCGACAGGAAAGTTTGATGATGTTATCGAAGCAAAATAAAATGTCTGGAACTGAATTTTTTGTTAAGTACTAACAAAATTACGTCCATATGATACATTTTTCTGGATGCAAGAAAAACAACACACAAAAAAAATTCTAAACTAACACCTCAAGAGATTAAAATCTGTGCTACAATTCTGGAATGCTGATATGAACGTTTTGGTTGGTAATTTTAACTTCACTAGAATGTTCCTCTGACAACCCGATGTTTATATCAACATTCTAGAATTGTCGCGCAAATTTTTAACATTCCTGGATGTTAAAACTGCAACATTTTTTTCGTACATCAAATGCTAATAACACTATCCTCACGGAGAGTTGTGGTCATTTCCAATAAAAAAATTATTCATCGCTTAAAAAGAAAGACTTTTCACTAGACCTGTACAATTATGGATTTTTCGATTCGATTACGATTAACGAAATTAATCGCGATTATGATTAAAATCGGGAAAAAACTAAAAATGTAAAGCAGCGGGCGATAATTTTTTTTCTTCTTTATGTGACTATAAACGAAGTTATTTCTTGACTTTCGTGACCAAAAACGAAGTTGAAGTATATATGTTCTTGAAGATATTTTTGTAAAAAGTTGGAGAGCTGATAATTTTCCTCCAATATTTTTTTTTCCTTCTTTCACTTGAGGTTGACTCATTGTCCATTTTTCTAAGAGATTTCTTACACCGAAAATCGAAGAACCTTTATCGTCGACATGAAATCGCGGCACAAGCCCAATGGGGATATTTTCGCGGGGTTATCACTATTTTCAGTACGAGTTTTTACCGCTAGGGGCTAGCAGCGCGCTACCGTTCAAATTCAAAATGCGACGCGAAACTGGACATTTCGTTAAGTCAAATTAATCGAATTAAGCACGATTAATTTCTCAAACCGATTACGATAACGATGAAAATTACGATTGACATTCGATTCATTGCACAGGTCTACTTTTCACCAACCTCAAAGCATGAAAGAAAATTGGAGAATACACTGAGGAATAACTAATTTGCGATCTGTCTTCATTTGGTACAATTTGTATTATAAGATTAAAAGAAATTTGGCCTTAAGCAGGGAAATAATTTTTATTTTAAGTTAATTTTGATTCATTTTTTTTGCAGGGAAGATGTGGAGCCCATTGGCGCTGGGGAGGGTCCGCTTCTAAATCCGAATGGAGAAATTGATGTTGCCTCCAACTACGATGGAGCTGCACACACCTACCATGCAACAGCTAAAGATATTCCTAGCCTCTTTAGAAAGCAAGACTCATCACTAACACCATCAAAGTCGCTTACATCTCCAGCTCTGAACATTAGGCAATAAGCTTTACTGTCGTTCACACGAGAAAATTGTGATATTTATATTCATTTCATCTTGACTATATTTATACTTTTGATAAATTATTTTAATAAACTAAATATAAAAGTCAATGCCAAATAAGTTTACACACTTTTAGAGTGCAATTGAAGATCCGCCATCTTGAGTCTTGCCCTTACTTTCATTGCTTAACTGAAGGGATGTAATCTCCTGACAATGTCTAAAAGTGCCTTAACATGTTTGGCAAGGACACTAACATGACAAAAATTCTCATAAGCTGTAATTCTAGACGAAAGGAAGTACCCAGGAAAAAGGAAGGACCTGAACAAAAACTAATTTTGTTACTGGAAAATCCAGTCTATTTCTTTCATGGGAACCTTCAAAGAAGCGTTAGCTGCATTGAAACTTTTTACCTTTACATTTTAAATTATTTGGTATAGCTTATGTACTGCTTAATAAAATTTAAGACTTTTTAAAAAAAATCTCAGCGCTCTATTTTTGCTGAAGCTAGTTTGATAGTAAACTTGAAGCCATTTTTAGGCAGGTTTGCAAACTGAGACACTGGGTTTTTAACATGAATAAGTACTTGAACGTATTTATTCTAAAAAGAACCACGTACAAACAAAAAAAAATAAAAGGGAACTATGTAGAACATAAACCCTATGCACAAAGTTCCTTCCAGCATAAATAAATCCAAACGGACCACACTTAGCAATTAGGGACTACAATTTCAGGTTCATCCATAAAAGTAGACCGTGGGCCAGCAAGGGGTAAACCCCCCCCCCCCCCCCCGGTGGGAATTTTGAAGGTGGTGATTTTCTTGAAGCTCTCAACTAGTAGAATAAGATTTTTCTTGTTAACGCGAATTTTATCGTGGTGGGGGGGGGAGTAGGCCCCCCCTAAACCCCCCAAAATTGCTCAGAATTCCGACTTTTCCGCGAATTTCCCCATTTTTCTCGAAAAGGCTTGATTTTAGGACAAAACTTCACATAACCATTCTGAAAGCTCGTGAAATTTTGGTCTAGAAAAGTTTTGTTTGACTTTGACCAGGACCCGCGGTTCCCCAAAATGGGGGGGCTTGAAATGTCAAAATATCTCAAATTTCCACGAAAATGACCGTTTCGCCGCGATTTCTCGCCAAAAACGCGAAGAAGGTTGGTATCATCGTAAAATTGTTTACCCCTAAAATAATAGAGCATTAAATTTTTCATTCGAGGGCCGGCCTAACCCCTCGTGGGGGGGAGGGCCCCCCAGCAGTACCCACCCTATAAAAACCGTCAAGATTGGCCGCTTCCTTGAAGTAGCGTTATGCGCAAAAATGGGCGGCAACATGCAAACAAGTAGCGTTTGTTCTGAGAGAACATCAATGTGGATTCTTATAGGGGATGACAGGGGGGAGGGAGGTACATCCTCCTCCCTCCCCAGAGTTAAGAAATTTCATGAAAGATTATAAAAAGAAATTTCATTTAACACGCAGAATTCAGGATTAAACCCTTGAAACTTATGAATCTCCTTAAGTTCATTTATATGCACGTGGTAAACTGTGAAAGGGAACTTTAGAAATGCCCAGAAAGTTGAGTAAAACAGCAAAAACTTAATTTTGAATTTTTTTTCTAAAATTCTGGTTGAACACACAGCGCACAGCCGTACCGATTGAACACCAAAATAAATTTTACGGATAAAGTAAGACGTAGCTTTCATATTTGGAGCAAAACAAATTTCTTGACTGTAAAGAATCCGAGTACTAAGTACCCCCTAATAGTATATCCTTCTTTTTTTGTACAAACGGGAGGGAGGGATCTTGAACTATCTTTGAAACAATTTAAATGATTTTTTCATTTGTCTCTGATTTTCCAACTGGTCTAATTGACGAATATTATTCTCTTTAAAAATAAAAACAAATTCTGTTAGAAAAAATAAGCATTTTTGACATTTTGTCGGTCGAAAGAAATTTCATTGGGAAAAAAGAAATTTCATGAAATTTCTTGTGAAATTTCATTCGATGAAATTTCTTGTGAAATTTCATTCGATGAAATTTCTTGTGAAATTTCATTCGATGAAATTTCTTTTAGCAACTCTGTCCATCCCCCTCCCCCGGCCCCCCAAAAAATAATCACGGAAAACGTTAATAAAACGCGAAAATTCCACTTTATAAGACGACTTTCAGGGCTTGCCACTGACACGCTTACACTAACATAATTTAACGAGGGGGGAGGTGAGAGGGTTTACCCTCCCCCCTCCTCTTCCACCCCCTCCCCCTCCCCCTCCCTCAAGAAAATAATCACAAAAAAATGTAAATAAATGCGAAAATTCCATACTCTAAAAGGCGACTTTCAGGGCGTGTCATTGTCACGCTCACACTGTTATAATTTAATGAGGGGAGGGGGGGGGTTTAGACATCTTAGCCTCCCCAGCCAACATTACAAAAGGGTGGGTGAGGGGTAATTTAGAAACGTTACTTACTTAATAATTGGAGGGACGGGGAAACCTAGCTGCAGTAGGAGAATTTTAAGATTTGAAGGGATACGTAATTAAATCAGGGAACGTAGAGATACTATTTTATTTTTTGGAAATGACGGAAACTGAGGGAAGTTTATTCTTAATTGACGGATATGTACATTCTTAAGCTTATGTCAACATTTTTGAAACGTTTGGAGAATAGGCTCAAAGTGTATTGGATCGTTTGCCAAAGTATTCAATCATTCATTTGGTCACAGATAGAAACTGCAGTGATAAATTTATCAAAAACATTCAGCGATTATGGGGGGGAGTAAGGGATACTTTTTCACGAAAGGACCCCCAACCAAAATACCCCGTAGTTTGAAAAGTAATTTAGGCAAGTGTAAAAACAAGAACCAACTTATCGATCTATTCCCAACTGAATGGAACCGAAAGAAATAAGCCCAATATACTCACTGGAAAAAGTATATTTAAGGCATGGAGGAGGGTCTACCCAGTTTACTTCCGCTGACGGAGTGAAAGTTGACTTCATCTTGCAAACTCAGTAATAATCAAACCAATAAGAAGCAAACACTCAAATAATTTTGCTTTTTTCCGAGTCGAACTATCTTGATAACTATTCGTCAATCAGAGTTCACTGCAGTATCTGTCTGTGACCAAATGAATGATTGAATACTTTGGCAAACGATCCAATACACTTTGAGCCTATTCTCCAAACGTTTCAAAAATGTTGACATAAGCTTAAGAATGTACATATCCGTCAATTAAGAATAAACTTCCCTCAGTTTCAGTCATTTCCAAAAAATAAAATAGTATCTCTACGTTCCCTGATTTAATTACGTATCCCTTCAAATCTTAAAATTCTCCTACTGCAGCTAGGTTTCCCCGTCCCTCCAATTATGAAGTAAGTAACGTTTATAAATTACCCCTCCCCCACCCTTTTGTAATGTTGGCTGGGGAGGCTAAGATGTCTAAACCCCCCCCCTCCCCTCATTAAATTATAACAGTGTGAGCGTGACAATGACACGCCCTGAAAGTCGCCTTTTAGAGTATGGAATTTTCGCATTTATTTACATTTTTTCGTGATTATTTTCTTGAGGGAGGGGGAGGGGGAGGGGGTGGAAGAGGAGGGGGGAGGGTAAACCCTCTCACCTCCCCCCTCGTTAAATTATGTTAGTGTAAGCGTGTCAGTGGCAAGCCCTGAAAGTCGTCTTATAAAGTGGAATTTTCGCGTTTTATTAACGTTTTCCGTGATTATTTTTTGGGGGGCCGGGGGAGGGGGAGGGAGGAGGATGTACCTCCCTCCCCCCTGTCATCCCCTACAAGAATCCACATTGATGTTCTCTCAGAACAAACGCTACTTGTTTGCATGTTGCCGCCCATTTTTGCGCATAACGCTACTTCAAGGAAGCGGCCAATCTTGACGGTTTTTATAGNGGGCCCCCCCCCCCCCCACGAGGGGTTAGGCCGGCCCTCGAATGAAAAATTTAATGCTCTATTATTTTAGGGGTAAACAATTTAACGATGATACCAACCTTCTACGCGTTTTTGGCGAGAAATCGCGGCGAAACGGTCATTTTCGCGGAAATTTGAGATATTTTGACATTTCAAGCCCCCCCATTTTGGGGAACCGCGGGTCCTGGTCAAAGTCAAACATAACTTTTCTACACCAAAATTTCACGAGCTTTCAGAGTGGTTTGTGAAGTTTTGCCCTAAAATCAAGCCTTTTCGAGAAAAATGGGGAAATTCGCGGAAAAGTCGGAATTCTGAGCAATTTTGGGGGGTTTAGGGGGGGCCTACTCCCCCCCACCACGATAAAATTCGCGTAAACAAGAAAAATCTTATTCTACTAGTCGAGAGCTTCAAGAAAATCACCACCTTCAAAATTCCCNCCGGGGGGGGGGGGGGGGGGGGGGGGGGGGGGGGGGGGGGGGAGGGTTACCCCTTGCTGGCCCATGGTCTAAAAGCATCTACCTGCATAGGAAAGCTTATGGCACAAATGCTGCTTCTAACATGAGCCAGAAATTGCCGTTCTTAATTGCAAAATGCAGTCCTTATAAGACTATCTTTTTCTCCTTTAGCTGCTGGAGCAACGAAAAGTAAAATGCAATCCATTCTTTCTCAAAAGTAGCAGGTTTATTAAGTTTTGCTGGGGACATAGCTGCATCTCAATTTCTAAAATATGCAGGGTGTCCCAAAAGTCCATACCCCCCCCCCCCCCCCCCCCNGGTAAATTTTGTACGGTTTGTTCGACTGGGGGAAATATAATTTTCTCATGCAGGAAAAGTAAAAATCTTCTCTCCCCGAGAAAAATATTCCTCCCCCTGTAAAAGTAAGTTGTTCCCTTTGTAAGAAAAGTTATATGAAACAGGCATCAGACACTAAAAACAACATCTACGCAGCGTATGGTTCTAAACAAGGGAGTGGTGGGGTGGGGAAAAATTGTCATTTTTCAAACAACCTATTTCGATGTTCTATAATAATGGAGATATCGCCATTGGGAAGGCATGTTGATTAGAGTTAACCATTGCTGTAGTACATTGTATCATTTCTTAAAGCTTCATTTCCTTAACCCTGGGGAAAAATATTATTTTATGGAAAGAGAAACTTTCTTTGTGAGGGGAGAATGTTTTTTGTAGGGAAAAAAAGGTTTTGTAAGGGGAGAAACTGCTTTATGGAGGGGAAAACCTTAATAATACAAGGGAGAAATATTTTTCAAGGAGAAAAAAGAAGTTTAATTTTCCCGCATGAGAAAAAAATATTTCCCCTGGTCGAACAAAAATATTTTTTCCTGCGCAAGAAAGATGTTTCTCCACGCGCTACAAAAATATTTCTTTCCAAGCGAAGCTCCGCATGGTTGCCGAACCTAGTCGATATACTCGACAAGAAACTGGCAGGAAGCTTCGCTCCTGCACGGTGCTCCGCCGCGCCGCACACTAGGCCCTGGTGCTCCGTACGCTCTGTCATTCTGCGTCCTGCTATTGGCTGCTTCATCATTGAAAAAATATTTCTTCCTACTGTAACAGAAATGATGCCATGGTTTCTTCCATCTTGAATTCATCAATCTTTGGTGTAAACATTCCCTTTCGTAGTGAGAGCTTCCTCACTGAAAGAAACGAGGTGGAAGAAACATTTGTATACTCTATCATGGTGGATGATCCACAAAGCACACGGTCCCTTTTTTCTCAATTCGTTATTGAGGATTTAAATAAGTTAGAGGAGGAGTTTTCGACAGCAAGCAAGACTTCTTGTCGGTATGGCTTCGTCACACGACTAAACGGGAAAAATTGCTCATTTTCACCTATATCTTCCTTAAAATACATATTTTTATGAGTTCCAGTAACACATGCGGTCCGAAGGACCCCTCCAAAATTGGTCCACTCATGGATTTTGTAAAACTTTCTCTGATAAGTAGCTTCAGAATTGTACATACATACCTACTTGGCATAAATCCTCCATGTTTACATTTCATTCTACAGTTCGTTGGATCATTCATTAGAACGTATCCTTCATATATCACATGACTGAAAATCAGACCCGAGAACCATTCAACAGTTTGGTGATGATGTGTGAATTAAAATTAGAAAATCGGAATCAAAAATTATTTAGTCAAAATAAAGAAATACATATATTAAAAAAAAAAAAAAACAGATTAATTTATTGATAGGAGTCAGGTGGCCACTTTTTATCTTTCTCCTAAAAATGAGAAAACAAGTCAGAGATAAACTATTGAAATGTGTACAAGAGATGGTTGATTAACAATTTGAGTCACTAGATTTTAAATATAATTCCTCAGTGCCATCATATTGAATAAAGTCCTTCAGGCGTAAGTTCGTCATTACAGCATAATCCATTCTGTTTACTTTTTTTTTTGGGCTGTTTCAAGTGCTTTCTTCTTTGCTTTCACGAGCTCCACCAATTCCTTAGAAGAAGAAGAAAAAAAGGTAGTTTTTACACTTGAAAGCTGGAGAGATACATAAGATGCAGGATTTTTCTTATCTCACAAATCATTTATGATACAATGATTTGCAAGAGCAAATCGTAATGCATAATAATTTGGACATCTTTCAGCAGAAAGGGACCAACTCCATTGCGGTGTTTTCCAAATCAAGTAACTTCTCCTAGAGTACTTCTTCTTGACTATCGAGAAAACTGTATGCAATATGCATGTACAATAATGAAACTTAAAGAATTCGTCAGGGCCGGATTTACAATTTAGCACCCTAGGCTAAGCTTAGGGTGGCGCCCTTAAAAGAAGGCGCTCTCGTGGGGGGGGGGGGGGGTCCCAGACGCCCCTCCCCTCCAGATCAGAAGGAGGATGTTCGGTGTCAGGAAAATGTTCAAATTCACCTTTAAAAAACACGATTTTAAACAGTTTTGAGGTACGTTTACGTATGCAAGTTAGTTTTGGAAAATAAAAAGTAACAAAAGACTCGTTAAATTAAAAAAAAAATAAATAAATAAATAAATTCTCAAACAATGTTACGCCCTAGATTACAGCCTATGTAGCCTATTGGTAAATCCGGCCCTGTCGTTCCACTTAAAACTGACACTCTTGCAGGAAAAATAAAAACTGTTAAAAAGTCGGTTATCAGAATAAGGAAAAGTTGCATGATTTAAAAACTCTGTAATAGACTCCATTCCTTTCTGTTAATCCCTGTCAATTTTTGAGTGCCCTTCAAGAAGAATTTGTATCAATTTTGAGGTATTTCACTCTTATAATTCAACAATTCGCACATCCACAACCGGCAGCACAGGTATTGTACAAGTCATATACAGGGTGTAACTAAAGTCCATCCCACCCCTGCTAATTTTTGAACGAATTGAGCTAGGAAAATGAAACTTTGGGAATGTTCCTATCTCAAAGGGGACCATCGTTTGGGGGGGGGGTTGCGGGGGGCCCCCAACTTTTTTTTTTTCTCAAATGGCAACCCCTATCTTGTGATACCTCATTCAAAAGAGCTTAAAATACTAAGAATTTTGGCGCAAATCGCAGATCAATATCTTAATTTTTGACCAAGTTATGATAGGTCAAAGGTCAAATTTGACCTATTTTCGAAAAATCATAACTCCGGTTAAAATTATCGTTAAGAAAAAAATAAGACGGGAAAATTAACCAAGTTGTGTTCGCTTTAAAGTAAAAATTTCAGAAATCACTGCGAACTAATTCTAAGGGGGGGTTCGGACCCCCAAATACGTCAATTCAAAGGTCATTCGATTTTCCCGCGTAATAAGCCAATTTCCCCTAGATTTACCTCCACATTATCTCAGTAAGGTCTAAATCAGTTCAACATTACGTTGGCAAGTCCCCAAATTTCGGGAAAAGTTCAAAAAAACGAAATTTAAGGTGATTAAATTTGACCGTTTAAACGGTAACCTAACTAACTCGAGGTAAATCTAGGGGAAATTGGCTTATTACGAGGGAAAATCGAATGACCTTTGAATTGACGTATTTGGGGGTCCGAACCCCCCCTTAGAATTAGTTCGCAGTGATTTCTGAAATTTTTACTTAAAAGCGAACACAACTTGGTAAATTTTCCCGTTTTATTTTTTTCTTCACGATAATTTTAACCGGAGTTATGATTTTTCGAAAATAGGTGAAATTTGATATTTGACCTATCATAACTTGGTCAAAAAGTAAGATATTGATCTGCGATTTGCGCCAAAATTCTTAGTATTTTAAGCTCTTTTGAATGAGGTATCACAATATAGGGGTTGCCATTTGAAAAAAAAAAGTTGGGGGCCCCCCGCAACCCCTCCTGAGGGGGACCAAAATTTTGACACCCCCCCAAACGATGGTCCCCTTTGAGATAGGAACATTCCCAAAGTTTCATTTCCCTAGCTCAATTCGTTCAAAAGTTATCAGGGGTGGGACGGACTTTTGTTACACCCTGTATGCAATAAAATCAAAAATAGTAAAAAAAGATAGGCAGTGATCTTAGCAAATTCTCACTGCGCTTGCCACAATATAAAATTCTAAGGAAAGGATCCCTGGACCAATGTTATGGAAAAGAAGCCCTGGGATATTTAGGTATGTTTCAGATTTCACCCTTCTGATCAAAAGCTTCATTAGTCACCAAGTCGTTAGACTAAAAAAGGACCGGTTTAAAAAGATGAAGAAGGTAGAAGGTGCAGGTAATAAACGTGGGAAATGCATTCCAATCCACCTCAGTGCAGAAAATCGTCATTATTCGGTCTTTTATTTACCGAGGTTGAATTACTGCACAACCGCCACTAGGGTGGATCGAAATTTTCGACTTTGAGAGGAGAAACGTGTATCTTTGAAAAAAAAGTTGTCAAATGGGCCTTGTATGAAGTCAAAAATTTCGCAGCATAAAATTGATCCCCTAGTACCGCATGTAGGCTTAAAAGGCCTAAATTTTATTAAAGGTTCAAACGCATGTATCCTTACAGATTTTGTCAAATTGATAGCCTGAAGGACACAAATTTCGTCCGTTATGACGTATCGTGCTCAAGTAAAGCAAAATTAGCCTGTTTTCACCCGATAAATAGTCGGTAGCGCCCTCCAGAATGGCTTATCTACAGTAATGCCGTAAAAGTAAGTGTGGATAGCCAATCCTGATGGATTTTGCCAAATTGTGGCACCAAGGGCGAAAATTTCGTCCGTTTTGGCGTATTTCTATCCGTTTACCCACAAACATGCGGAGAGGGCGTTCGAGCGATGCACGGCGTGGATCGTCGCGCTGCGTCCATTCGGTGCCCGCTTTGACCGTTCAAGGCCGGTCGGTCGGTCCAAGGAAACCCGACGCGTTGCGCGGCGGCAAGGTGCCGGCAATGGTCAGTGTCTGTGCAGCCGTAATCTCACTGGCATATCCCGTGTTTGGAAAATTTCAGCTATGGGGAATCTTTGAAAGTTAGATTTATGACGAGTGACAATCTGCGACCTTTGGAGTTGTAATGCTGACCCACTGTCATCAGTTGTCGTTCAAGTTTCTTATCGTTACGATCTCGCTCCTGTGACTCAAAGTGAAGTGATATGACTTGTATCTCAATCTTTCTGTTTCTCCAGAACAGCTCTTTTCATTGCTTCATTATCGCGAACGGAATGGCGAAGAAGGCGCGCAAAAATTCGTCGCATCCGATTTGCGTAGCTTTGCGAATAAGTCGGATTGATGCTCGGCACCAAATGTCACGAACTTAGTCCACAACAAGAGAACCACTTTCCGTGGTTACTGTTGAACCCTATAATTCTAATTGTAATCTTGACAACGTCGCTTTATGGCGACTCATACTGCGAGTCATATTTCAACATTGATAAGCACCTGCGTATAGCAGCCCCTTCCCCTTGTTAGGTAGTTCGCCAACACATCTCCTCGTCGGACCACGTTCTCTGTTTTCTTTCAATAAAATATGTAATACGTACAACTCTATAAAGACTACTCTAAAATATACCCAAAACACCATTCCTCATTAGGTTATGGGCCCAGGATTACGCGGAACGCGACGCGGTATTATCGTCCTGTGGATTAATGTGTTTTGTGGTTCCTGTGGAATAATGTGACTCGATGCTCGGAAAAGGGCAGAAACTGAAAACTACTTTCATCGTGTTGTGCACCGAATAATATAAACTAAACCCCTGTTCTTCGTGTCTAAAATTAAAAAAAAAAAAAAAAAAATTTAAAACCATTTTGTGAAGGAATGAAATAAAAATTAAAAATTAAAACCCAATGTGTGAAAAATAAAATTAAAATTAAAAAAAATTAAAAATTTTGTGAAGAACTAGAGTGACAGTAGTTAATTCTGAACTTTGTAAAAATAGAAGTCCAGAAAAATTAAAGTAACTTTGAATTTTATAAAATTCGGAACTCTTTGAACTTTTGAAAGATAAGAAAGATTAAAATCATTCTGAACTTTGTGAAATCTGAAAGACAAAAGTAAAAATTAAAAATGGATAACATCAAGCGCGATGAACTTAGAGACATTGAAAAACTGAAAGATACCAGCAATTTTCAGTTTTGGAAATTCCAAGTTACAATTGTTCTGAAAGCTGGAAATGCGTACGAGATAATGACGGGACAAAGTGTGAAACCTGCAGCGGATGGAGAAGATGGAAAGAAGGACCAAAAACAACTCAAGGAATGGCAGAAAGGAGACGCTCTTGCACAAAAAGTGATCGTCCAAACGGTGGAGAGAAGTGTGATGATTCATCTCATGAACTGTGACAGCGCAAAAGCAATGTGGGATGTACTTTTGAAACTTTACGAACGAGATGACACCGAACAAAGATGCCAACTTCTGGAGGAATTTTTCAACACTAAATATCAGAAAGGTACTTCCATAATGAGCCATGTGAGTACTCTGGAGAATCTCTACACAAGATTGAATGCTATTAAGGGAAACGTGTCTGAGCAAATGTTAATAACTAAAATTATAACAACCCTACCTAGTCATTACAGCTTTTTTTCTGCAGCTTGGGAAGCCACAACTACTGAGAGTAAAACTTTGGTAACTTTAAAATTACGACTCATGGTTGAGGAAAATCGTCACAAAAGCCAAAAGGAACCTGAAGGCTTAGCTTTCAGAGCACAAGTGCAGAAATGTTACAATTGTAATAGAGTAAGGCACCGTTTGAAAGAATGTAGGGATAAAATTGTCTGTAATCTATGTAACAAACCGAATCATGTTGCCAAGTTTTGTAGAAATAAAAATGGCAGTGCGCGTGATAAAACTGATGACAAAAATAAAGGGTCTCATCCTCCTTGTGGAATTTGTAAAAAGACTGATCATCTAGAGGCACAATGTTTTTTTAGAGATAAGAATGAAAGTGATGAGAAAAATAAGAGAAATAAGAATGGTAAACCTGTGCTTATGGCAAACAATTTGTACGACGGTGACGTCAAAACATGGGTCATTGACTCCGGTGCTACGTCACATATCTGTCGTTCTAGGGAATATTTCACA